ACAAAGAGACTGTTCAAGTTCAGAACTGATTAAACCCAATGCTTCCACTCAGAAGTAGTTTTAAGTAGAAAGCAACATTTTTTTATACTTTTAGTAAAAATCCAACCAAACAACAAATAAAAAACCTAAGAAACAAAAGAAACTTTTAAAAAGTTCATTTAAATGTTTTGACTTGAAAAAAAATTCTTAATATAGGATATCTAAAACAGTAATGTCACACTTAGAATTGCTTAAATGGAAAACAGAAAGGCTAGTATTGCATTTGTTTTGGCTCTACTGTGGAAAAGTACGAAACTTTCTATGAGCCAGTTTAGCCCTTACATAGTAGTAGGTTAACCATTTGTCCCTGTTTTCATCCATACTCCTATGAGTAGTGACACTCTACACACCTAAAAGCATTCCAGTTTGTATAATAAATTATATGGTTACACTAGTTTTAAGTCATTACCATCAAAAGTAACATCACATTGTGGAGGAAAGTAGTACCATGTCTCACAGTCCGGAAGAAAAAAAAGGACAGAAGTGGGGTGGAGAGAAAGGAAAAAAACCTGGAGAGCCAAATATCTAGATAGACAGATAGATAATATAGTCAATATCTGTTAGTGTCTTTTTCATAATCCTTATTGTGTACACTTAGCCTTTTGTCTGTTTTCTGCAAGATTATTTAAACTAGTGGATCTTCTATTCACAAATATTTTCTAAAAGAGCAATCTCATTGATTTATTAGTTGTATTATTTTTCCTTTTCCTAATGATTCATACCTGTCTTTTATTAAGAATCCCCTTCCTTTTCCCCTTAGATTTATTTTGTTGCCTTGTTATTATTTTCTTATATTGGATGCTCATGTAATTTTATTATCTTTTTTTAATAGCATATGTATTTAAGGCTATGATCTTCCTATGAGTACATTTTAGCCATGTTCAATAGGTTTCTGAAAGTAGCCTGAAAACTATCTTTTAACGTAAAGAGTCTGGAATGGACCAGGAATGTAAAGTGAAAATGTTTAGAAGACTAATGCAGGGTAATTTCTTCTCTAAACATCAAGTGCTTCCTTTAAATTCAGAAGCTGTGTGATTAATGGTCAATAATTTGGAAAACACACACATAAAACACACTTAAATTGATTACTCAGGATGTACTTCAGTTATGGTCTTTGAAATTCAATCTTAACAATTTGATGCCTCAAGGCGCAAAATTTTCACACATTTGACATGGTTAGAGGTGATTATATCATACTATCCACATTTTATTAGGAACAGTAGCTCATTAAGACTGACAGTGGGGACAGGGAGCGTGCTCAGCACAGGTATCTTACTAACAGTCACCTTGATCATCACTGACTACATGCACTCTCTACTTGATCAGCCACAGAGGCCAGAAACTAGACTGTCTCTTGATATTTTATTATTAAGTCATCCGAGGCTTCATTCGGGGAAGGATTTAAAATGCAATTGTTGGGCTTCCCTGGTGGCGCAGTGGTTGAGAGTCTGCCTGCCGATGCAGGGGACACGGGTTCGTGTCCCGGTCCGGGAAGATCCCATATGCCGCGGAGCGGCTGGGCCTGTGAGCCATGGCTGCTGAGCCTGCGCGTCCGGAGCCTGTGCTCCGCAACGGGAGAGGCCACAACAGTGAGAGGCCCGCGTATCGCAAAAAAATAAAATAAAATAAAACGCAATTGTTCACATTTTTGTCAATTATACATCAATAAAACTGGAAGAAAAAATAAAATGCAATTGTTCTTTAAGAGCCAGATAATTCAGAATTCAACAGAATCTGAGGACAGGCATTCAGAACTCCAACAGAATAACAAATATCAAGCAAAGTGTTAGTTCATTTTCTTAGTAGTGATGAAACCTCAATTCAAATGTAATTTGACTCAGGTCAGGATTTGATGATTTATGATAAACAAAATCACACAAAGCAGCTTATCTTTGTATTCTATGCAACAGAACCAGAGTAAGTAAAAATGAGAATTGAAAATAATTTTTAAATATCTGATTTGAAGTCACTATTTTTATAAGAGCAAAGGTGGGTTTAGAAATTAAGGGATTTGCCCGGAGTCACACAAATTATGTTGGAGCTGGTACTGGAACCTACTTCAGCGCTTCAGCATATTTCATACAAACTGATGTGTGTTACAAATGCATTACACGTTTGTTAAATGCAGATCTCTATAAAAGCATCTGAAAATTATTAACTGTTGGTTAAAGGGCTTATGCTTAAAAGTAAGAAAATGCTTTCATTTTATAATTCAATATAGCTTTGACCCAATTTGTTTCTATACCTGATAGTTAAGGTCTGAACTACATTTCAAATCAGCTTTATATGTGAACTCTGCTATTAAACCAACAGTAATGTTATCTTTATATTATTAAAAATATAATATTGTGGAAAACGGACACCCTATAATTTGCATGCATAATAGATAACATACCTGCTTCTGGCTCTTTAATGGGTTCTGGATTTGGCAGTCTCTTCCTCTTGACATCAGAACCATCTCCACACCCACACCCAGTCTTTGGCTGAGCCAGTTCCTGTTGATTAGCTTCCAGGGCAGGACCTTGCAAATAAAAAGTTTATCAATTTAAGAAGTAAAACTTGAGATATAAATAAGGGAATGATAATATTCACTCCTTCAGTGTTATGAAGTAAAAGCCTTAGGCTAGTGTGGTAATAAATGTGATGCATGAGAATCCCAAGAGCATTATTTCAGGAGTCTGTTACAAGAAACTAGGAAAACAGGGTTTTATTACCCTCTTCCTTTCCCAAGACTGCCCTCAGACAAACTAGGTGCTCCCTTTGTACTTATCCATATTGTACCTGTGACTGTACTTATCAGTGATTCGTTTGGGTCTCTCCGACTAAATTGTGAGCTCAAGGTTGAAACCATGTCTCCTATTAGTACTTAGCATATTACATGGCATGAGCAGACAACAATAAATGTTGAGTGGGGAAAAAAGTCTTAAAAAATACCTCAAACTGATTAACATTTTGCAAACCAACTGGTATGTCCTCTTCAAAAATGTCAAGTGTCATGAATGCCAGAAAACTAAACAGACATGACAACTAAATGCAATGCATGATCCTGGACTGAACTCTGGATCAAAAAAAATTCTATAAAGGAAGTTATCGGGACAACTGGGGAAATTTGCATATACACTGTGTATTTAATGATTGCATATTCTCATTGTCAAATTTCCTGATTTTGATAATTGTACAGTGATTAGCCAAGAGAATTACTTTTTCTTTGTTCTCAGGCTATACATACACTAATGTACTTAGGGTAAAGGGTCATGATAGTTGAACCTTTATCTAAATGACTCAGTAGTAATACGAGCAAACATATCAGTAAGTGTGTATGTGTGTGTATATATATATAGGGGGGAAGGGAAGAGGATATGAAACCAATGTGGTAAAAACTATTAATAATCGGTGAATCTAGGTGAAAAGTTTATGAGTTAATTGTACTATTCTTGCAAATTTTCTGTAAATTTTATGTTTTTAGAAATATAAAGTAAAAATTAAAGAGAATACATGACAACTACATTGTACTTCAGGAAGACAAGAGTGATCTTATTTTTAATTGTGGTTTAAAAACACATAACCGCAAATTCCCTGGTGGTCCAGTAGTTAGGACTCTGTGCTTTCACTGCCGAGAGCCCAGGTTCAATCCCTGGTCAGAGAACTAAGATCCCACAAGCCGCATGGCCAAAAGAACAAAAAAAATTTTTTTAAAAAACACGTAACATAGAACTTACCATCTTAACCATTTTTAAGTGTACAGTTCAGTAAGGGGTTATTTTTGCATCATTAGCATAAACTAGAAATGGACTTTACGTATTTGTTTTCCTGTATTATGAAGCCTTTATTTTAAATGGTCTAAGAATAAGCCATAATAAACGTATAATTTCTGTATTTTGCTATAGTGTACTAAAAGCAGTGAGCATCAGCTATTTACAAAGCCTGAAGTCTATACCATGTATAGGATTTCAATTACAATTAAAATGTAATCTTCTGAAGAGTTAGCTCAGTGCATTTGCAGGCCCATGACAAACCTTATAGTTGTGACAGCCACGCTCTACTGGGGTAGCCAGAAACTTACTTCGTTAAAATAAACAAAAGTTATATTTAGGTCCAAAGGTCCTATATGTAACTTTCCATAAATAAATCCCATGTAGAACAAAGTAAAATTATTTAACTTTTAAATTTAAAAAATAACCAAAATAGGGATTTCCTGGTGGCACAGTGGTTGGGAGTCCGCCTGCCAATGCAGGGGACACGGGTTCGTGCCTCGGTCCGGGAAGATCCCACATGCTGCGGAGCGGCTGGGCCCAGGAGCCATGGCCACTGGGCCTGCGCGTCCGGAGCCTGTGCTCCGCAACAAGAGAGGCCACAACAGTGAGAGGCCTGTGTAATGGGAAAAAAAAAAAACAGTAAAATTATTTAAGAATAACAGTCAAATATACAATGAGAATAAAGGAAATGGGGTAGAAAGAAATGAAAGGGCATTGTTGCCAGTCATATTCTACAAACCTTTAACCGTGGCCTGAGTTATGTAAATGTTTTGCTTCAAAATACTATGTATATCCAGGGGAAATAATGTCTGTCTCATGTTAGTCTTAGAATAATTAATCTTTTGATTTTCCTAACCATAGAAGGATTTAACCACCTTTTAAAAACCACTTTAAAACAATCATACTAAACCAGCTACCTGTATGCCAGTATCCTGAACTATCCAGCTTTTATCAAACTTACCATGTAAAAATATCAATTACAGAAACAATGGCCATCATGCATGACTCATTTCTGGAGCCTCTATCCTACTACATTGAACTGGGGCAATACTGAGCTACATTACAGTACAGACATTTGAGTTTTGAGCAAAATCATTCACCTTTTTTACAGCAACACTCATGGTAGGAAGACACAAACTCTGGAGTGAAATACAGATTTTGTATTCAAAAGCCAGGTGCTCTTTGATAAACCCAATCCTTTAGCCTCAATTTTCTCATTCATAAATTGGGGAAAATTTATTATAGTGAGGGATTGCCCTAAGCTGCAAATTATACTCTCTTCACTTCTCCAGCCAATTTTCAGGCCATGTTTGAGATCCCTTTCTATACACACACACACACACACACACACACACACACACACACACACACCCAACAGGCATTCTTCTTCCCCTTCCCTTCACCTTGAACTGAAGATGCTCCTTCATCCTCTTCCTCTTGACCAGGTATAATGTCCTGACTTTTAGTTAGTGGCTTCTCTTGTTGAGGTTGCTTATCACCAGGCTCCTGGAACTATGGGTGCGTGTGTGCAAATGAAAAGTTTTGTTACTAATACATGTCAACAATATAAATATACAAAATACAAAGATACATTTGATCATAAATAAATCTAAAGACCATTTTTCCAATACTATTCAGTACACTTTTTTTTTTTTTTGGAGCAGAGAAAGTTGTATTAGTCCATGCTAGGTGACGAGGTGGCTCATGCCCTAAAAAGCCTCGAGCTCCCAGCATACTTATTCTTAACAAAGTTACTCTTCCCACAGAGAGGCTACTCCAAGAAAACTGTTACCCACAAGGACTTTGGAAGCTATTTTAATCTATGTCAGGGTGGCTGTGTGCAATCTGTTAATAAGCATGAGAAAGAAGTCATCAGTCAAATTCCCCAGGAATGTAACAGCATTCATCCAGGCAACACCAGAGTGTAATCCTCCTGGATCAATGTTCCTTATCACATGGAAGACCTTTATCACTGTATCTGTATTAGTTCAACAACATTTGCACAAAAATTAATTTCTACTAATAAAAATCATCAAATGTTAAAACACTTACAAACACAGGCCAAACTGCCCTGGGATAGCCTTGATCACCACCTCTTTCTTTAGGTCTGTATGTTGACTTTATTCTCCGAAACATATTTCCCACTGAAAACATAACATTGTCATTTGGAAAATGCACTTAAGAGGATAAATATATTTGAACACTTCCGTGGCCAAATGATGATGTATACTATTGTTGTAATATTGAACACATTTTCAAAATAAGTCTCAAGGTAATTTAATTGTGCGTGCTTTCCAATCACACCAAATCTGGCAACTTGCAAAAGCAATTGTTTATCTCACAGCCAAGCTGACAGAAAAATCACCTTAAAACACATAGTAGGGCTTCCCTAGTGGCGCAGTGGTTGAGGGTCCGCCTGCCGATGCAGGGGATGCGGGTTCGTGCCCCGGTCCGGGAGGATCCCACGTGCTGCGGAGCAGCTGGGCCCGTGAGCCATGGCCGCTGGGCCTGCACATCTGGAGCCTGTGCTCCGCAGCGGGTGAGGCCATGGCGGTGAGAGGCCCACGTACCGCAAAAAAAAAATAAAATAACCAAAATAACAGTAAAATTATTTATGAATAACAGTCAAATATACAATGAGAATAAAGGAAATGGGGTAGAAAGAAATGAAAGGGCATTGTTGCCAGTCATATTCTACAAACCTTTAATAGTGGCCTAAGTTATGTAAATGTTTTGCTTCAAAATACTATATATATCCAGGAGAAATAATGTCTGTCTCATGTTAGTCTTAGAATAATTAATCTTTTGATTTTCCTAACCATAGAAGGATTTAACCATCTTTTAAAAACCACTTTAGGGCTTCCCTGGTGGCGCAGTGGCTGAGAGTCCACCTGCCGATGCAGGGGACACGGATTTGTGCCCCGGTCTGAGAAGATCCCACATGCCGCGGAGCGGCTGGGCCCGTGAGCCATGGCCGCTGAGCCTGCGCGTCCGGAGCCTGTGCTCCGCAACAGGAGAGGCCACAACAGTGAGAGGCCCGCGTAACGCAAAAAAAAAAAAAAAAAACTTAAAAAAAATCATACTAAACCAGTTACCTGTATGCCAGTATCCTGAACTATCCAGCTTGTATCAAACTTACCATGTAAAATATCAATTACAGAAACAATGGCCATCATGCATGACTCATTTCTGGAGCATCTATCCTACTACATTGAACTGGGGCAATACTGAGCTACATTACAGTACAGACATTTGAGTTTTGAGCAAAATCATTCACCTTTTTTACAGCAACATTCATGGTAGGAAGACACAAACTCTGGAGTGAAATACAGATTTTGTATTCAAAAGCCAAGTGCTCTTTGATAAACCCAATCCTTTAGCCTCAATTTTCTCATTCATGAATTGGGGAAATTTTATTATAGTGAGGGATTGCCCTAAGCTGCAAATTATACTCTCTTCACTTCTCCAGCCAATTTTCAGGCCATGTTTGAGATCCCTTTCTATTGTTTTCCTTCCTTCTCTGACCGGTATATCATAATGCATGAGACACCACATACACACACACACACATAAACACACCCAGCAAGCATTCTTCTTCCCCTTCCCTTCACCTTGAGGTGAAAATGCTCGTTCATTCTTTTTCTCTTGATCAGGTATAATGTCCTGACTTTTAGTTAGTGGCTTCTCTTGTTGAGGTTGCTTTTCACCGGGCTGCTGGAACTATGGGTGCGTGTGTGCAAATGAAAAGTTTTGTTACTAATACACATCAACAATATAAATATACAAAATACAAAGATACATTTGATCATAAATAAATCTAAAGACATTTTTCAAATACTATTCAACACACTTTTTTTTTTTGGAGCAGAGAAAGTTGTATTACAAGTCCATGCTAGGTGACGAG